CTATGTCACTATATGCGACCATTGTAGCATATGGTTAGCTTGATTTTGAAAGCAGTGACTTCATTTTACAATAAACTTTCTTTACGAGAAGGGAATTTTTTGTAATTAATGAATACTTATCTAGTTGACCTATTTTAAAAAAGATTTTAAAAAAAACTACAAAAAAAAAAAAAAGAAAGGAGATGTATATCTGGAAACCAATCAAAATTTGAAAATATCAAATTAAATCAAATAACGAATATAGAAAAAATTACCTGATAAAAAATTATGGGTTTGAGACAAATTTTCACCTTTACTCTAGAGGCAGAAATGATGATCTTGTGGTCCTATTAAATATCTCAAATTAATTTGCTGCTTTTTCATTAAATAAAGAAGAGGGTGGAAAGATGAGATATATGTAAAAATATTAAAGATTTCTTCGTCAATTTAAAGGCCTTTTTTTTTTGTCAAAAACTAATTTAGTGATGTGGTGTCATAACTTAATTTTTAATTGGGTATATTTCAACAAAATTCTCAAATTTAATAAAAAGAGAAAGATACAAATTTGAAATGAAAGGAGAAACATGAAAAAATAAAAAGTTGAAATAATATAAATAAATAAATAAAAGAGTGAAGAGGTGGACTTAATTGAAAACTAACGAAGTTGTGGATTTTATATTAGAGGCTAATGTGAAAGGTGGAAAAAAGAAATGGGATCAATTGCCAAAAATTCAAAAGAGGAGACCTCTCACTCTCAGGGATTAAATTGAAAAATGGAAAAGAAATGACATAAAATGCAAAATATTCAAAAGAGAAAACCCCTAAGCTGCTAAAAGGAAATTCATCTTCCTTGGACAGTCGACTCTCTTCTGCATCGAGGAGTCCGGTGATCTCATCACCAGAATCCATGGCGCTCGTTAGGTAGAAAGAAGGAAACCAAACCAGAACGGCGGGATCCACGGGCGCGCCTTTTCGGGGAGCCCGAAACCCGTCAGCGTAATTCGCGGGGCGCCACCACCGCCTCAATGCGCGTGATCTCAAAGGCTAATTTCCCGCCGTATATGTGGATTAGATCAAAGGGTAGGCAATTTTTCTGAGCTTTATGTGACAATTTTTGGATTAATTTTTCTGAGATTAATCTCGAATCTTAAATTAATTTTGTAATCGTTTCCTCCTTTTTTTTCCCCTGTTGTCCGATTTCTCTATTTGGCATCGGGTTGTCTAGATCTGATTGTAGCTCTGTAATCCAGGTGATTGAACTGCTTTTGATCTTGAGATTCAGGTACCGATTCCTGTTGATGTTGATGCCCAAATTTGATAATAGAGTAATCTTTTTTGTATTTAACTCGCATGCCTCTTTGTTATTAGTTGAAATGGGATTTTCACACTGCTCGATATTAAGCTCAAGTTAAGATATTCTTTGAAGTGTATCCTGTTGTGTTTAAAGATTTTTTCAATTATTGATTAGTTCATGCAATTTGTTCCGTTTGTGTTTGTGTATCCGTTCATGGGAATTAGTCCTTCTGAGATCTGTGCTTCTTTATGTATTCATTAAACGGAACTTGTGACCATTAATTTTGTTAGGTTCAATTTCTGGGTTGTGTGTGATTTCTTTTGGTTAGGCAAATTAATGATGAAACATTTTTGTTTTCATGTTTGGAGTGAAAGACACGAATTAGGCTTTTTGTTCATTTGTTCTGAAAAATCTCAGATTTTGATCCACTATCACCGAGTTTAGGTTTTCGGGTAGGTTATGGGCGGAATGTTGGAGTTGTATTGCAACTTGTTCCTTGGGCGGACTGCATGATATGAAACTTTAGGCTTTCAAATTTCAACAGAACTCATCGTCATCGATGATGAAATATTTATTGAAGACTAGACTGTCAACTAATTGTATAGACATTGATCTAGAAGTAAATCTGTCAATCGTCTGGCTGTATCTGGCTTGTCGCAACCAAGAATAAGATAGAACTACAGTCTCCAACAAAGAATAGAAGCAGGCAGCAAGCCTGGACAACATCAACTGTTCATCATTTAAAGACATGAAGACTCTGGTTCACACATTTAAAGCCACCATCAACCATAAGATTGCAACAATGAGAGAGAACTATAATCTCCAACAAAGGATAGAAAGCAGGGAGCAAGCCTGAACAACATCAACTATTTATCATTTAAAGACACGAAGACTGTGGTTCACACATGTAAAGCCACCGTCAACCATAAGATTAGCTCCACTTATATACCTAGCGTCGTTGCTCGCTAAGAAGAGCACGGTATTAGCCACATCATCTGCTGTCAATTCCACCCCGTCCAGGTTACCATTTTTTGCAACAAAAGCTCGGAAACCTGTCCATGCATCCTCCGTTCTTTCCTCCTCAGGTAAGTGTGCCAAGGACAAGTTTGTCGCAACTCCATAAGGTGAAACGCAGTTTACGCGAATCCCATATTTTCCTAGCTCTGCAGCAACATTCTTGTTGAGGCCTAAAACAGCATGCTTGGACCCTGTGTAAGCATGAGGGCCTAGACCACCAATAGTACTTGCAACACTACATAGAGAGATGATTGAGCCCCTTTTTAGGGGGACCATGATCCTAGCAGCATGCTTCATTCCTAAGAAAACACCCTTAACATTCACATCAAACACCTTCTCGAACTCTGACAAATCATAGTTTCGGATATCAGGACATGGCGTGCCAGATACCCCAGCATTGTTGACCATGATATCTAGTGTACCAAACTTGTTCACTGCAAAATCAACTGCTGAATGAACTTCCTCCTCATTTGTTACATTACAATGGAAAAAACAAACATTTGTATCACCACCAAGGGATTCACAAACATGCTGAACAAGGTTGTCTTGCACGTCAACTATGCAAACTTTTGCTCCATGCCTGTGGAACAGACGCACAATGCTCTCACCAATGCCTGTTGCTCCACCAGTAACTATCGCCACTTTCCCGATTAACCTGTTAAAAATGAAAATGGATTCATAACTCAGTAGACAAAATAAATTGCAACGTCTTCTTTGCAGAACTTATGGTATCCCTCATATCTTATCTTATCTT